ATCCATGTCCATTGCATGCCTAGCCCAAGTTTCTTTTGTGATTCTAGCCAACCATTTCCATGCTTCTTCATCCTCATCTAAGTTTAGCCATTGCAACATCAAATCCACGCGGCCAAATAAAATCAGCACTGAAATCCCTTTCTTCTTCACCATATTCACTTTCATCATCATTTTCCTCAGAATGCAACCCTAACTTGCCCTTTCTCTGGATATGAATGCTCTAATGTGTGTTGACAACCCCATGGGTGTCAACTGCATATACAATAGGCTCCCACATCTTTGTGAAGCTCTCTTCACATCAAGTGGAGTTGGGGCATCTGCTTGAAGTCCAATGAACTTAACAGATCTGTTGTGGTCAAACTCTTTAAGCATTTCCTGAATCATTGCATTGTTGTCAAGCAACTCTAAACCAGCTATGCCAGTTCCCTCTCGATTCACATAATAAGTGTAATTTGTACTCCCAAAGCCCTCCAAATCCATAATAGTCAACAGAGTGTTGTATGTGATTTTAGAGCTGATCATTGTCCTGTCTAAGTTATCCCTACCATAGAATTGGAAACTCACATTCCAAAAGTCAGCTTCGACCCTAATTACAGTCAAACGAGGCAGCAACACTTAGTTAGTTCAGGAACACAAAATTCAATACTAAACTACATTCAGTCAAAATGAGGCAGCAACATTTAGTTAGTTCGAATTCAGTAAAAAATTTAGTACTACACTACATTTTGTAAAAGATAGGACAACAACATTCAGTTATTCTAGAAGCACTAAATTTAGTAAAATGAATTCAATACAACATATGGCAACAACATTCAATTATTTCAAAAACATAAAGTAGTTGAATGAAGTTAGTAAAATATGACAACGACATTAAAAAAAATCAGAAATAGTAGTAGATAGGAGTATGAAACAACTAACAATTAATATGAACTAAGCTAAAAGTATCAAACAAATAACATTACAAATCTAAAACCCTAGTTACAAGGAGAGAGATAGATATTCAGGGATGGGACAACTCTAGATTTAAATGTAGCTCACATAGGGGGCGCTTTTGCACCGTGTAGCTCCTCCACCGCCCCGTGGGCAACATCCGCTGATGACCGTGTTGCCGACGATGAACAAAACACGATGCTGCTGCCGCAATCCTCCTCGCCGCGGCTGCCCCTGCCAGGCTGCCACACCACCATCCGGCCCCATCTGCTCTTCTTGCTCTTTCCCCTTGCCACCGATGGATATGTCTCCGCCTTCTGCAAATCCCATCGCAAATGAGGGGGTGATTTGTCTCGTGTTCATAGTTGTGGGGGTTAAGATCCAGAATTTTGATGTGAGGATGTAATGTGGTTGAACACGATAGTTTTGGGGTCAGATTGAAGAGAAACGAAGGTAGAAGCCAACGGACTGACACCCCCGGCAGTCATAGCAATTGCGAGTCCACCGAAATTTGGCCAAAAAAAAAACTTTAACAACTACACAGTCAAAAGCAATTGCGAGTCAACCGAAAATTCTGCTTTTCTGTGTCAATAACAAGGTCCTTACCCGCCATAATCTTGCCAAGCGTGGTTAATTCAGTGGCCTGTTTTGGAACGAGTCAGCGTGTGTAGGCGCACGCGCGCACACAAAATCAAAATCCGCGTCCGCGGACAGTAGTGTTGTGCAGCAGTTTTTGGGACGGGCAAACAGCAGCACGCAATTGTTGCAATTTTATATGGGCCGGCATAGACAAGGATTAGTGAGCGAATCATCCTCTCGATCTATATATCATCTGATGATGACATATACGGTACCATACCGGCACCCCATTCTCATGCAGGAATTGACCAGGAATTAATTACATGATCATCGCATATGGCTCGCTATATATGTATCGATGAAAAACGAACTCAAGAGGATGCACGCCGGCCGAATACAACTTCTCACGGCAGCCATGAGGGACCTTCTTCACATCAGCCATCCCCATGCGAGGAGCAGCAGCAGATTCTTCGTCGTCGCCGTCGTCTCCCTCACGCTCGTTGCCGCCCTTCTTGCGGCTTTCAACCTGCTGTCCACCACGACGATCCCGGACCGGCGTCCGCCGGTTTCTTCTCGGTCTCGCACGCAAGCGCGACGTGGCGAGGGCTGTGACATTTTCCGGGGCGACTGGATGCCGGACCTGGACGCGCCCTACTACACCAACGACACGTGCTCCCCGGGGATCATCGACGAGCACTATGACTGCATGAGGTTCGGCAGGCCGGACCTGGGCTTCCTCCAGTGGCGGTGGCAGCCCGCCGGCGACGGCTGCAACCTGCACCGGTTCGACCCGCACCGCTTCTTGGCCCTGATGAGGGGCAAGACCATCGCCTTCGTCGGGGACTCCCTGGCCAGGAACCACAAGGACTCTCTCATCTGCCTCCTCACCAAAGTTCGTACTCCTTCCAATCTTCAGTCTGTCTTGATCTTCTCGCTTTCTCTTTTCATTCATGTAAAACAAATCCTAATAATGTAAAAATGATTTTCCAATGAACACCAAGAATTGCCATGTGAGAAAATATACAATTGTCATGCTGTCGTAATGGATTTGCTAGGCTCTAAAGTGAAATTGCCATGTAAAACCAAAATATAACAGAAAAATTGCCACACAGCACAGAGTAATTGCTATTCTTTCGATCGGGATCTGACAGTCCTAAATATGTTCACTGGGATTGCTACATAATAATAATAATCTGGCATACACTGGTTAGTGGCATCCAAAAGAAAAGTTCTCGTGCCCACTTTCTCCATGTCTAACTCTACCTATTAAGATATTTATATGGACAGATAATTCACAGACGCTAACCTATTAAGATATTTAGTAGACTATAAGGCATAGTGCAATGGTGAAAGAGGTTGATGCCTTTCCACCCTCTCAGTTCAAGGCATGATACTTGCAATTTGGATTTGCAACAATTATACTCTCAAAGCCTTCCTTACAGTTTTTTTATTTACTCTGTGTGTACCTATTAAGATACTTATGGCTCCGTTGCAAGGAACGAATAATTACTATCTACTCCGTGTGTACCAAAATACTTGTAGTTGGGGAAACTATTATAATGTACTTTTTTGAGAATTAATATTATAAGGCACTAATGGTATGTGCATGCAGGTCGCCAAACCTATCATAAAATCACCGAGAGAGAAGCACACGGTGTACTACTATAGGGAGTACAACTTCACGGTGGCCAGCTTCTGGGTGCCATATCTAGTCCGGCACGAGATGATCGAAGACGATGGGCCAACGCACACGGGCCTCTGGAACCTCTACCTGGACGAGCCGGAGGAGGTGTGGACGACGCATGTGGCAGAGCTCGACTACGTGGTGGTGTCGGCGTCGAGCTGGTTCTACCGCCCGTCCATGTTGTATGAGGCCGGGCAGCTCGTCGGCTGCCACTACTGCCAGCGGCCCAACGTCACAGACCTGACGATGCGGTACGCGCTGCGCATGGCCACGCGGGCCGCGCTGCGGGCGCTGTCCGGCGCCGACGGCCAGTTCCGTGGCACGGCGCTGCTGCGTACCGTGGACCCGTCGCACTATGAGGGCGGGGAGTGGAACAAGGACGGCAACTGCCTTCGAAGGGCGCCGCACCGACATGGGGAGAAGATGGTCGAGGGCGTCGAGCTTGACTTCCGTGCGCTGCAGATGGAGGAGTTTGCGACGGCAGAGAAGGCGGCGACGAACGGCGCCAGGGTGATGCTCATGGACACGACGGAGGCGATGATCCTTCGCACGGACGCGCATCCCAGCAAGTACCGGGCCTGGACGCCTGACCCGCTCATGAAAAACCAGGTGCACAGCGACTGCGTGCACTGGTGCCTTCCGGGGGCCATTGATACATGGAATGACATGCTGCTTCATATGCTGCTCCACGAGTGACTACATTTCGATTATTATAAATTAAATGGTAATACATAATATGAAAAATACTGTTGTACGTAAAACCCATTTGTATTGTGCTTGTACGTTGTAACTTACAACCAGAAGAGGGGTTGAAAACAAACATATGATTGGATGGTTGGAAGGAGAGCGATACCTCAGCCCACAGGAATCAAACTACAGATTTGACGCTTTGGTATCTTATAAAGGTGAAATATTATTCCAATGGAAGGTGATGTTCCGTCGATGACGTGGTCTGCAATGACTTCGTTAATCTCAAGGCCTGTTGGCTTGGTCTTTCAGAGGTGTTCATAGGGATAGAATGTGTGGGCTTTCATAAGGTTGAGTGTATGTACGTATTTTTGAGCGTCTATGTTTGTACTTTATTTATTAAGAAAAGCTGCAAACACTAGGCAGAAGTAGAGATGTGGAAAGGGGGGCATCCCAATCACCGCGGCGCATAGCCTTAACTGAAGTTGTAATATTCATCTTTGCCATCACTTAATTCAGAAAATAGGAAAATAAATCAACATAGAACGATGGGCCTTGATCCTCAAATTCAGTTGGCAACAAGATCCGTCCTTCTTCATTGCCGTGGTTTCTTAACTTTCTTCTACGGGTAATACATTAACATCTTTTCCAACATCAACTATGGAGATAGATATTCAATTGTCTCAATTTTTGTGAAACACATATAGTTTCTTTCCATAGATTTAAACTTTTTAAGAAAATAAATAAGTAGTGGTTTTTAAATACTAATCATTTTTGCCTTTATGATATATAGCAATCTTTTTTGAAAAACATGAGATGAACATTTTTGTAGTAACTTGCAAAATATGATCCAATTATTTTAATAGATTGAACATATAGCATAGAGACCCCTCCAAGAAAGCATAGAGACCATTCGGCATGAATGCTAAACTATATCAAATACAATGAGCATATAGCATAGAGTAAAATCACTGGAGAGAAGTTTTAGTAGCCTCTCCTATAGTACACCACGCATCTTGAGAGAAACACTTTATTTGAAGGTAATAAAAACTGATTATAAAGGCAGATACAGATAGATAGAGGATGATCGAGCATCGGGTCACGCGCGCGCACCGTTTATTTATAGCGCTGCATTGTTTTTTCTTCTTCCAAAGCGCCTGTCTCTGCTCTGGAAGGCCATCATGGCTTGGAGATATTGGGCCTCCCCGAAATCAGGCCAGAGCGTGTCGGTGAAGAAGAGCTCCGAGTAAGCCGACTGCCATAGCAGGAAGTTGCTCAGCCTCAGCTCGCCGCTGGTCCTGATGAGCAGGTCCGGGCAAGATGTTTCGCTCGTCTGGAGCTCGTCGGCGAACAGCGACTCGTCGATGTCCTCCGGCCTGAGCAGCTTGGCGTCCACTTTCTGGGCGAGATTCCGGCATGCCTGCACAATGTCCATTCGCCCGCTGTAGCTGATGGCTAGGACTAGATCGAGCTGTGAGTTGTTTCTTGTTGCCTCCTCGGCGTCTCGTGCAGTCTTCTGCACAGAGATCGGCAGCCTTGAGCGGTCACCGATTATACGTAGACGGGTCCCTTCCCTGAAAAGATTAGCACAGAAATATAATCGATCTCTTCTCCTTGTGATGGGTCAAAAATTAATACTACCTCCGTAACTTTTTACTCCTATAGTCGTCTATGACAGTGTCAAATAACGTCTCAAGTAAATCAAGTTACAGAGGGAGTATCCGTACGTACGTACCTCAAGAACTCGGCGAGGTTGTCGTTGATAAACCTCTCGATCAACGCCATCAAGAAGTCAACCTCCGCCTGCAAATGCCAAGAAAGAACACCGTCAATCCATCAAGAGCTACGCATGCATGTGTGCATGGCGGGCGGGCGCGCACGATCGAGGAGTGAGAAGGGTAGTAGGATTAGAGATGCCGGCCTTGGGGCGATTCCAGTTCTCGAGCGAGAAACCGAAGGCGGTGAGGACGCGGATGCCCCAGGCGCGGGAGAGCCGCACCGTCCTCATCAGCGCGCGCATCCCGTGCTCGTGCCCGTCCGTCGGCGGCAGGCCCCGTGCTGCCGCCCACCGCGAGTTCCCGTCCATCACCAGCGCCACGTGCCGCGGCAGCGACTCCGCCCGGAGCCCTTGTGAGAGGAGCTCCTCGGCCGCCGGGACGGTGACGGCCGGCACAGACGACGTAGAGTTGGAGAGCGGCATAGTAATAGTATAGCGCTGCCTTGTTTCAGGGTGGTTCAGAGCGGCAACGTAACGTGGAATGGGGACAGCGCTATATATCCCCTCGTAGCACACACTTCTCCGTGCTCCTCTGATCTCTATCCCCTTGGCCCAAAGTAAGGTGAAAAGAGAGATTTCGTAATGGGGTAAAGTGCACAAGCAAGTTCCAAGGACAAAGAAAAGGAGCACCGATCGAGGGATAAAAGATTCTGATTGCCTGTAAAGTTTCTCTAATCAGCATCTCAGTGTCAGTGACCCAATCAAGGTAAAAGCCCTAAGGCCTAGACAGAATCTTTCTCAACTTTCCATGCTCCAGGCTCGACCGCATCGATCGAACTAGTTGTATGTTCAGAATTGCTATTTCACATCTACTCCCTCCGTCCGGAAATACTTGTCGGGGAAATGCATAAAAATAAATGTACCTAGAACTAAATACATCTAGATACATTCATTCCTCCGACAAGTATTTTCGGACGAAGGGAGTAGGTGTGATATATTATCTCACATCTAAATTCAAAACCGTTGATCTTGTATGTCTTTAATTTTCGCGCAAGTTGATTGGCTCGCCTTGTGAACTGGTTCGCGTCCGTTGTCGAGCGCGACGGCCCGCGTCCACGGCCATGCGAGTGGGGAACAGGCCGTTGTTTTTTCTTTTCGTGATCTTGGAATTCGCGTCGATGCATGTGTGGGCATCGTTTTTTGCTTTTCTACAATCCATTATGTGCATGCGGTTGGGCCTTTTTTCTGTTGGTCTGGTATGCCCACACAAAGTGTTGTCAACACCTTTTCCATCCTGCTGGGTAGAGCTGGACCAAAAGCTCGTAACTCGTGAGCTTAATGAGCACTCGATAGTACGACTCGTCAAGCTCGTAGCTCGCTTCTTAATTAACAGAGTCAATCACTGATTTCAGTTCATTAAGCTTAACGAACGAGCTAACGAGTTCCGCTAGTATCTGGCTAAGTTCGTTAGTAACAACACAACACATATTTTCATCTTACGTGGCAAACTTTTGTAGCACCTCAGTTCATCTATTCAATCTAATCGATATAGGAGGCAACAAACTAGTGTATTTCTTTTTCTAGCCACCATATTTCATCTTAAAAACCACACATATGCACTCATAACACATTATAATCTGTTAATGAGCGCTCGCGAGTGCTCACGAGCTACAAACGAACCAAGCCGAGCAGAGTTTTGTGCTCGTTAATCTTAACGAGCCAAGCCTTGATGAGTATGAGCTTAACGAGCCGAGCAGCTTGTTAATCTACCCCTACTGCTGGGGTGCACGGTATAAATGCAATAGTCAGTTGCGTGTTTTTTTTCACTTTTCTATGTTTTTATCTATTTGTGTTATATTTTAAAATTTATCTAAATTCAGATGTTTATAAATTCATGATGTAAAAAATTATGAAAATTTTGTTCTAGTTTTATTTTTTTATTTTCTCAGCTTTAATTGTTTTTCATTCATATTTCTTCTTTTCTTCTGTTTTAGGCGCAGATGCTCACATGTACACATCCACTGTTTGTATGAACGCATCAAGCACATTCTATCTTTATAACCACCTTTGAGATTCGAGCATGTAGATCTTGAAATTGAACAAGTCATCGTAGTGCATAACGTGTAAACTCGTGGCAGTGAATGTTCTTCCTACTGTGTCAATTCGTGACAAAAGCAAGTTGCCACGTCAAAACAATAAGCACGAGTCCCCCAAGGGATAGGGATTCGCATTACATGTTAACTTGGAGCATGCTCCTCCAATCAGTTTAACTTTGCCCCAATCAAGGTTAGAAAATAGGCCTAGGAAATCTTTTGGTGTGTGCGAAGATTCTTTACTATAATCCTGGCTAGCACAAATATCTAAGCAATGTTGGAGGATAAGAATAAGGGGTACAATGTGCTTGGGGTTAGAAAAATCACTCTCCAGGTCAAATGGTAATTTGTGTGTTAAAGAGGTACTCCCTCCGTCCGGAAATACTTGTCCGAGAAATGGATGTATCTAGATGTATTTCCGGACGGAGGGAGTAGGATATAACCATTAAATACTAGAGATGGCACTTCAAAAAGATCACCTATCCTTTTTCTTATACTCAAATCTAGGTGACCTATGTGACATTCGGGAAAACTTCAAGTAAAGCCATCTAAGGTATATATTCATATTTCACCCCCATGTGAAGAAGGAACAAAAGGATTCTACTTTGCAATCTCAGAGCGGTAAATAGAATACTTAACGTTGAGTAACAATGTCAGCCAACTTTTGAATCTACAGTGGTAAAACTTTAACCTCCATATGCCATATAAATAATATCCGTAGGTAATTTGGACATTGCACTGAAGCCACATATGGGCAGAGCCGAAGTGGACTGGCCCACCCAAGCAGTGGCGGAGACAGGGGGGGACCAGCAGGGGCCCTGGCCCCCCTTGACATTAGGAGTTTGCTACTAATTCACTGATGAACAGTGCATGATTAGCAATTTTTTTATGCTTAAAGTCTATTTTTTCTATGCTTTGGCCCTCCTCAACCTATTTTGACTGCAATCGGCCCCCCTAATTCAAATTTCCTGGCTCCGCCACTGCACCCAAGCAGATTTTGTGAAAATATGTTCTTATATGAACCCCTCTACGAGACTCTGACTTCGCCCACTTGTGGTTTTCAAAAAGTTCTTACAAAACCAATCGAACTATAAGGGCCTCTTTGATTTGCAGTGGTGTCATTTACGACCCATAGACAATCTGATGCAGTCTGACGCAATTGTTTAGTCTTGCTTAACTTATCGTCTATGCTATGCACATTGGAAATAATTGGATGGTTTGTTGGATTGGCCAACCCAAATTTTCATATCTGTGCATGGATAGCCAGGATAGGCTATTATAGAAAACTGGACAAAAAAAAAACACATCATAGCCATAACAATACTAAAACACATTGATGCATTGTTTAAAATCAAGAGAAAGCAGGAGATAACATTGTTGTAATATGTTACTACATGTTAAGTAATAGCAATAACACGGTGAAGAGACAAATGTCAAAGTAGTCTAGACAAACTACCTTATATCTTGATTTGGTGTCAGGTGCTTTAGACCTATGCAAGGATTCAACGGTGGCGACTATGGCTCCATGACACTGGTCCTTAGCGGTATGTGCATGCATGGAGACTTCCCGGTTGTCAATCTCGACAAGGTCAAGCCGGCTCCGATCGGTGGTTTCAAGTCTCGGTGTAATTTTTACTATGTTTGAGATGCTTTGTACTTCCGATGAACTTTTGTAATAAATCTTATCTGGACCATTTTTTCTCCCTCCGCCTGGCATCGCTTGTACATCATCAAAAAAATGATATGTGTTTACAATCTCACAAAAATTTAAAGCAAAATTCAATCTACGCGCAGCGAAACAAAGGAAAAGACAAATGCATCTAGAAATAGTGCAACAAAAGCACAAAAATTCGGATACTATTCACATATGGAATAATTGCACATTCTGTTTCTCCGTTCGTAGATTGACTTTGGATTAGATATTTTTGGTACATACTGTTTTGCAGTGCAGGCATAAGAATACATGCCCGTCGCCTATCAACGGACTGTTCGTCCAGTGAGTGGCAGCGGCGGCTCTACATCGGCATATCCGGATAGGAATCAGGATTGATGAGGCACGGGATGGGGACTTGCTAGATGATGAATCATCGGTGGCGCAACACTTCTATTCACAGAGCCCCGACATGTGGCACGTGGATTGGCGACAACAATCAACATGTACATATGCAATATTGATCTTCTCTAATGAATGCCCGAAACCCCCTTCGAAACATCGGATACCCAAAACTCCCTACAAAAATTACACAGGTATTTCAAACCTAACGTAGATTTAGACCCTGCTGGTCACAAATAATTGACATAAGAAATTATTATTGTTATTATTATTGAAAAACTTGTGTAGTTTTCAGATGGCCGTACCATTGTTTATTGTTTAATTTCCTAATAAACAAGTAAAGGGTCAAGGTTAAGATGCAAAGATGATTATTGTCCTCTCAATAAAGATTGATGCAGGAAGATAGATAGATGGGATATTCAGATTGTTCTCATATCTAATCTTATGCCGCCTGGACAAAAGAGATGCTCTCCTACTTTCTGGGCGAAAGGGATGCTTCTACTTTGGTGTTCGAGTCGCAGTGGAGATGCAAGGAGCACGACTCTTCTTTGGCTGATGGGGCATCTGATAATCAAATCACATACTTTGCAAAGCATCATCAAACACTTTAAATATTTTTAGCAGTTCATTTCTTCCTGAAATATTCGTTCCCATAACTTGGGTCATCTAGATGATCACAAATGATTCAGCCGAGTGCCCACATGGGCAGGATGAAATTCAAGGAAGAATTCCACCTTCGTAGCATGAAGAGGAAGAATTGCTTCCAGCTTCGTCCTGCCCGGGTTGCAGCATTCCACTAACTCAATGAACTGCTGGTTTTTTTTTGCTTTATGCTCTTCTATTTCTTTAGTAGATAGCTTCATTTTCTTCCTTTATGCTCTTCTATTTCTTTAGTACTCCCTCCGTTTCAAAATTGATGACCCATTAACTTTAGTACAAAGTTAGTATAAAGTTGGGTCATCTATTTTAGAACGGAGGGAGTAGATAGCTTCATTTTCTTTCTTGTACTTCGCTTATTTTAAAAGATATACATATACACAGTAGGAGAAATCCTACTGTTTTCCATAAAAAATCAGATATTTTCCGGCACACAAGTACAATTCACAAGGGCCTCTACAAGTCAAAGGGAAAGTTGTGGCTGAACCCAGGCACACTGCATCCCCTTAATCTAGCCAACCATTCTCTGCATCATGATCTGTGCGGGAACTTTTCTCTTTTTTGTTTCTCCCAAATTAAACAACATATGAACTTCATACTTTACAGGACAACAAAACATTTATAACTACAATGTGCCGACTTTTATTTTTATTTTTTGGGCAGCATAAGTACTTGCTCTG